AGGGGGTGACACGCTTTGTGAATTTTGGGGGGTCCATACATCTTGGGTGTCGCGGCGTCAGAGGAGAAGAGACGACGGTATAGGTCGTCACTGATGCGTCCTTTCTTTTTCAGCTTTCGAAGGTGGTAAACTAACACTCTTTCGGACTTAGCAGCGGGATCTCTTGATAGCCTCACGAAATAGTGACTGTCATTTATAACTTCATACATCTTCTTCATGTAGTCATCCCTATCAAGCACAACGGTACCTTTTCCTTTGTCGGCCTTTACAATCATGATGGAGCTGTCTCACTTCAACTCATTAAGAGCAATGCGTGCTTGTTGATCTAAATTTGACCCGGCCGGTTTCGCATTGTTCAAAACATTGACAAGGCGGCTTATCGCGAGATTTACCCCTGTGACATCGTGCACATGTCTGAGTTTCTCTTCAATTTCAATTATGAAGTCACCTTTTGGAGCGTACCGTGGAGCAAGGGCATAGTCCAGTCCTTTGGGTAGCAGAAATTTAGATCAACAAGAACTCATTGCTTTTAATGAGTTGAAGTGACACAGCTCCATCATGATTTTAAAGGCCGACAAAGAAAAAGAAACCGTTGTGCTTGATAGGTATGACATAGGCCGGCGGATGCCCTTTGGGGAGTCCAGTTTCCGTAACCGTCTCGAATCTCGTCATGGAATATGTTGAGGAAAAGGTAATGTCTGGCATTGATTTGCCAGCGAAGTTCTACCGTCGTTATGTCGATGACACTTTTGTAACAGTTAACAGAGAGAACGTAACCGATTTTCACCGCGATTTGAATAGTGTCCACCCCTCAATTCAGTTCACCTGCGAACATGAAACCGACAGTACCTTGCCGTTTTTAGATGTCCGTGTCCATAAAACTAGTGAACCTTTCTTTAAGATGGAGACATTCGTATATCGTAAACCATGTGACAGACAAAACTTTCTTGACTACCACTCTCATTGCCCTACTCAGCACAAAAGCTCAGTTGTAAGATCGTTACTTCATCGTTCAGAAACAGTCCCATCTAACTCAACACTTAGCAATCAAGCACTTAGCCATGTGCGGGAGGCTTCGAAGAAACGTAACTACCCCGACCGATTTATCAATCTTGTTAAGAAACAAATGTCCCGTCGGCGCCCGGATCGAGCCGAACGAACACGTGACGTTGTGTGCCTCCCGTACGTTAAGGGGGTTTCGGAGGCATTGGGACGCGCTCTTAGGCCGTCGGTTGTACGAACTGTATACGAACCCTACAGAACAATCGCCAATGTTATCTCCAAGCCAAAAGACCCGACCCCACCAGAGGCAGAAAGGGGCGTGATCTACCAGGCGCAGTGCAAGGAATGTGAAGCTTCCTACATTGGAAAGACGGGACGAAAAAGAAAAACAAGACTAGAAGAACACGCACGGGATGTCGCCAATTCCACGAACGCCACCCGCTTGAAGACCGAACTCGTCGACCACGCATGGACGTCAAAACACCAATTTGACTTTGACAAGGCATCGACCTTGGCGAGGGATAAAAGGTGGGGACCAAGGAAGCTGCTGGAATCTTGGTTCATCCAGAACGACAAACGCGGAAGTGATTCATCGCTGGTATACAAGAACCGTGGCCCCCTGCCGGACGTGTACACAAACTTTATGCCTAAATAGCCGAACTTTTTGGTGCGAATCTCACTCGTTCATTCCTCTTCTGAAGGTGCCTCCCGCATGGGAGGCGAATCGCTTAATTAAATTGCTATTTTTGTTATGTCAAGTCGTTTTTGTTATTACATTTATCATGTCTGCGCGCGGCTTCTGGATTATTTTTGCGCTCGTAATTTCACCGGCACGACAGCCATGGGAGTCCACTGCGAGCGAGTGGGGAGATAAATAATTGAGGCCTATCGGATGGCGACAAGCCCGCAAAACATAAGCACCCCTTCATTTCGCTCTCAAGAAAGGAGATTATCTACATCTTGTAAATCCTGAGATGGGGAACGATAAAAAAACTGACGAACACTTCTGAGGCCCTCAATGGAAGCCGAAAGCTGACAGACTAGGCAAGGCGACAAGGTCATCGGCAGAAGCGGCCTTTTCTTTTGTGCGTTGTTGATACCCCTTCGACCTCGCCTTTTGCAAATCCTCCTTGCCTGCTTTTGTGTCTTCGTGTGGCTGTCAGCGAGCGCGACAGCCGCTTTAAGCAAATCAAAAGGGTGGAGCGAAACGCGTGACCCAGCGTGACCTCTCAACGTAGGACGCGTAGGACAAAAAGATTTGGATGAAAATTTGTCACGTGACTTTCTCTGTCACGCTGATGGGAATATCTGGGGCTGTCGTATTCGCCGTTTGCCTAGTTATAGAAATAAGAGGGCCACGTAAGTCCGGTTTTCGAACTGCGCTATTCAGTGTTCTGTTGCTTTCGTGCGTTGCAGACGCGGCCGTGTTTTTTCGTCGTAAACGGTCGGAATACGTTCATGGCAATTTTTTGGTAACAGCCATTTTTTTCATCGGAGTTTGTGGAATACTTGTGATGTGTTTGTTGGACACGCTTCGACAAAAAAATGCTCTCCGCCGACGAGGAGACGTCAGTTGAATGTGCGCAACCTTCTTCCTCGAATGTGTTTCTGGGGTGCCTGAGTTGGATTATGCATCTATCAAGGATTACATGATATCGCTCTTTTATTAGTAAGTGCACTGCAAGCATGATTCTGATAGTCGTCCTGCTTTCCTCTCAATCTCCGCGGTTTTTGTATGATGAGTTTTGCTTGGCATAAGGACAGTGTTAATTGTATTTTATAATTTGCTTTTCGTTTTACAGAGAAGTGTGACCTTTGTAAATATGTTGAGAATACACTGTGTGTAATGATAGTTGTTTAATAAACTTCTGGGAGCGATCGAAAAAATCTGTTTGTCCGTATAAGTGATTAGATATGCAACAAATGACATGCAACGCACACATACTTGCACGACGTTCGGCCAATACGGAGCAGACGCATCATAGAGTTTTCGCACAATATTGCGCGAACGCTAGGCCAAGGCGAAACAGCTGTACGGCAATACCTGCCGGGTATCAAACGATGGTGCAAAACTGGACATTTGAGCGATATTGGAACCAACTTTCGGCCGGCACTGGCACGATACTGCAAAGTATTGCTGTGCTGCTTGGGAACGGAGGTGATGACATCTTACGACCGTGTTTCCAACGCTTATTTAATTTATTTTTCTTCTGGGACGCGTGAAAGAGTACTTCTATGACACACCAGAGATATTCGAAACTTGGGCTGGCCTCTCGGCTTTCTTTGCCACTTTTGGCACTTATTTGGCACTTCAGTGGGTAGCCGGAGAAGAGCCAAACTTCAGCGTGCCCTGAATCGACAAATTAAGATTTACTGCGGCAGTTATGGCTCAAGTCTGGCGCTTACTATGGCACAACTGTGGCGGACCAGAGAAAAGCCAAACTCGGCGATGCCGAAATACCAAAATTAGGCGTTGCTTTGGTAGTTATGGCTCAAGTATGGCACACTTCGGCACTCCTGTGGCGTACCAGAGAAACGCCAAATTTTGGCATGTCCGATATACCCAAATTAGGCGTTGCTCTGGCAGTTATGGCTGAATTATGGCACCAACTTTGGCGCTCCTCTGGCGGACCAGAGAAACGCCAGACCTTGGCATGCCCCGAATTTCCAGATTAGGATTTACAATGGCAGTTATGGCTCAAGTCTGGCACCAACTTTGGCGCTCCTCTGGCGGACCAGAGCAACGCCAAACTTTGGCATGTCCAAAATACCAAAATTGGGCGTTCCTCTGGCAGTTATAGCTCTAGTATGGCACTACTTCGGCAGCCTGTGGCGGACCCGAGAAAAGCCAAACTTTGGCACGCCCCAAATACCGAAATTAGGCGTTGCTCTGGCAGCTATGGCTGAAGTATGGCACCAACTTTGGCGCTCTTTTGGCGGACCAGAGAAACGCCAAACCTTGGCACGTCCCAAATACCGAAATTAGGCGTTGTTTTGGCAGTTATGGCTGAAGTATGGCACCAACTTTGGCCCTCATCTGGCGGACCAGGGAAACGCCAAACCTTCGCATGCCCCGAATTCCCAGATTAGGATTTACTATGGCAGTTATGGCTCAAGTATGCCACCAACTTTGGCACTCCTCTGGCGTACCAGAGAAGAGCCAAACTTTGGCATGCCCTAGGATCGCCCAACTAAGGCTATAGTTAGGCACCGTACTTTGGCACTGATGAATGCCATGGTGCAAAAACCTAACTGCGCCAAAGTTGGGCCCTTATTTTGCCAGACCTTTGCCCAAGTTGCGCATTCCTCTGGCGTGCTAACCGGGTAGACAATGATAAATTACTTAAAAAATTGCTTCGGTACTTGTAAGGTAAAACTCAATTGTAAACTAGCCCTGCCTTATCGGGTGTATAATGGAGTAACAGTATCGAAGATTGAGAAATATATTGAAAATTAAATAGCTCTTTGCATCTTTTTTACATGAAGTAGTTAAATATTGATCAGCAAGATGGCTAATAAAGGATAACAGGCACAGGGCAGAAATCTGCCATATTTATAAGCGCACATCGGAGGAGAGATAATACAAATTTAGGTTGAAAGGAGAGGCGACGGCAAAAACAATATCATACATTGAATGCAATCCTGTTGGTGCGTATGGTTAACTTGATTTTAAAATACCTGTCACTATCATCGCTTCCTACATTTAACATCTATACTCAAAAACGTTTAGTAACAATGTTATCCGAATTGTTGTGTAGCTGACAATTAATAATACTTTTAATTTAAACGTGCTTGAGCCAATGTATCACAATATGCTGAAAAATATATCTGTAGAAGTGCCTCATCCACCACATGAATCTAAGATGATCTGCCCCGCAAACATATTTGAGTGTTTAAATGGAGGTTAATAAATTACCTATACTTCAGCTCCTAACATAACTTACTGTGCACAGCATGCCGCTTTGTAAAATTGCCTTCATTTGCTTTCCCCCGTACAGGAACAAAGTTGATGGCCACAGTGAGAGGCGTTATTGGTATGACTCATCGTTTTATGGGTCACGTATTTATGTCCGCCCACCGTTTACCCTTCTCACACGTGTTTTACCACTACCATAACCATGAGGGGAGGACATCTATGGCGGTAATATATACAAACAAGTCGTTAAATATGAGCAGGGGGTTCCAGTATTGTTAAATTCATCTACTAAATAAAAACACTCCACCTTAATTTGCCTCATAACCTTGTGTAATGACTAGTCCGAGAGAATCATCTCTCAACGTACTATTTAAGAAACAGGTAATTAAATGGGCAGTCTGTGCATGGAACCTGAAAATTCGGAAAGTAGAATTTGTTTCATCAAAATTGTGAATGACAGTGTTACTAATGATGCACATATATTACATTAACATTTTTTTTTAACCGAAAGTTTAAAAACGCGGCTGTACTTCTCAGATGCTGCGATACAGAACACAGTACAATTTGAATGTTTCGCTTGTCTTTTATAATGCCTATAATGTGCGCTTTCAATTTCGATGAAAGAAAAACAACAAATGCCACACATTTTATGTCGTGCCTTGTAAGGACCACCGGCATCTTTATGGTACGTCGAGCATGATCATGGTCAGCACGTGGCTGCTTCTGTTGAGCAGTCTCCTCTTCAGCCCGCTCTTTCCTTGTGCGAGGTATAGTAAAGGCTGCATGCACATCCTGTGAGAGATTGATCCCACGACCCACGGGTTTAAGTGATGAGGATAGGAAGAGCGTTCCTGTGCCCAAATCTCCCGTGCATGCTCATTCGTTTTGAAGGGACGACTGGCAATTTTCAGGGGGTTACTTAAAAAAAATGGATCCGAATTTAATATATAAGAATCGGCTAACTGTTCAACAAAAGTAAACATTTTTTTAATGTTACTCTGCCCAGTATAATGTGTTTTGCCCTAAATTTTTTTACTTAATTACCTTAATACCATATTAATCCGCGTGTTACTATCAATTCTAATGAACACATATTTTTTTTTTGCTTTGCAGAAAATGTCAACGTGGGAAAACGAGATCTTGGTCAGTAATAATTATCAGTGTTTCATCGCCTTGGAAATAGTTTCCACCTTAACTTCACCAAAATCCTATCATCGACGTACTTCCCTTCCCCTTCATAACCTTGTGAAAATGGATCGTGTTTTGGATATAATTCTAAACTACGATGAAAGACATTACTGTTGTGGTCGCGGCAAAGAGAACTCCTTATATTCATTCTATTTTAAAGCCCATAAATCTTCAGATCATAACGATCAAACGTTCACGGCACTATACAAACTCATCAAGTTGCGTGCACCATGTCGCACCATAAATATAAACACTAAAGTTATGCTTAGCAAAGTAGTACGTACAGTGCCCACAAAAGCTACATGAAGATTAGGTTGTGGTCCGGGCTATTTGCTACATCATATCAGAGTATTTCTGTTTATGGACTTGAGCTGCATGAGAACAAAAATGTTGGTTTATTTGGCAAAAGTAATGAAGTATCATAAAAACGTTTTGTATGTCACCGAATATAAACGATGAAAATGTCGCCGCTGCAGGTTTATATCTCTGCTCATACATCAAACAAATGTTTTATTAACCTGCAAAAATATACACTACACGGAAAGCAACGAATGACACTACAGTCCGAATAAATAAGATTAATAAATAGGGCAAATTTACCGGTCATAACAAAAAAAAATACCTGTCATAACCAGAGAGAGAAGTCCTTCCTTTGCAAATTTAGATTTTTATATTTTGTTATATAAATGTGCTACTCCAACGTTATTCTATAGACCCAAATTTGCCTGAAAATTCGATAAACACACCAACAAACATTGCTGAGAAAGTAATCTAAATTTTGGGCCGAAATACAGTTTTTGCGAAGTAATTCAATTAGTAATTTCGGTCCTCAGCGTCTTTTTCAAAGTGAAAGTCAATACTGACTACAATAAAAAAGTCACGTCAGCGGAAGTCAGGTGTTTAACCCTTTGGCTTGTTGACTTTGTTCACAATGATATCAAGCAGTTTCATAGCGTAAAATGAATGATTTGGAAGCTCGCTCCAGTGTCCGCCCAGCAGCGCGGAACAAATGCTCGGCATCGTTCATTTTTAGACAGCTTACTCGACCTGAAAGTATGCCTTCAACTTATGTCACAGCAATGAAAAGTGCGGCTATATTTCAGTGTTTGTTTTGGCATCATTTTCACTTGTTGATTTCACTGTTACTATTTCGCGTTACTAAATAGCATACGGGAAAGGTAAAGGCCCGTGATTCCGAAGATTTCGTTAGTTTAGGTAGTTTAAGAAATCGTCGGAGGACCTCCTTAGCGATACGTGTCATGATTAATAAAAAAGAGACATAAATGTAAATTAGGTATTTCCGCCCATTATATTGTCACGGGTGGTGACCAAAAAAACAATAAATAAACAGGAAGAAATAAACGTTTAATATGGCGAAGTTGTGCCAAAAATAAAAGGGTACACAAAATAATAACAGAGTGTCGCGGGCGTCGAAGTCGGCGTAGCAGCAGTGTGGAATGCTGGGGCGAAACTGACTGCGGCTCGCCTCGCGGAGTCCCTTTTGTACAGCTGCAACGGAAAAAAGAGTAGCACAAGTCACCGATGACCGGAGCGGCGAAAACGCGACACGCGGCGCGCCGATTGCGAGAGTGCCAGTCACGTTGCATGTCTCAACGCGCGGGGGGGGGGGGGGGGGGGGGGCGGCAAAACTTTATGCCTTTCGAAGCGCGGGCTTTAGGATGGGCGGCTTTCTGCCGGCCACCCCCGCGTTGACACATGGAACGTGACTTGCACTCTCGCTATCGTCGCTCACGGGAACAATAGCGCCGCGTGTCGCGATTTTGCCGCTCCGGTCGTCGGTCGCTTGTGCTACCCTTTTCTGTTGCAGCTGTACATGCGTGAGCACCTGGAATAATCGGCGTAGAATGTTCGACGCGTAGAACCATTCGGACCTCGAACAAGCCCAACACGATTCTCGAATTTACCAGGAAACTAAATTGCAGAGACAAACAAAAGACACGTCGCTCGCAGGAATCGAACCCTGGCCTCTCGTGTGGGAGGCAGGCACGATAACCGTTAGGCCACTTTTTTTTTTCTTTATTGGATAACCGTTAGGCCACGCGGGCGCTGCCTACTTGGCCAGCTGCGCGCGCGGCATTAATCCCCCCTTTAAAAAGTGCCTCGCCCCGATGCAGCACAAGACAAAGCAAATAAAAAGAACGGTAAACTGAAGAGTCCTTTGAAACACATAAGGTCCACAGTCCTATCGAGCGTAGGACGGCTTCAGTCGCACGACGTGGACGACTTCCGGTCGTGGTGGGCGGCGTGATGATGTTCTTGTTCCGTCGGGCATCACCTCGTAGTTCAGATCGCCGAGGCGTCGGATGATCTTGTAGGGTCCGAAATAGCGTTTCAGAAGCTTCTCGCTGAGACCGCGGCGCCGTATTGGTGTCCAAACCCATACCCCGTCTCCGGGTTGAAAGTGGACGTCCCGGCGACGAAGGTTGTACCGCCCTGCACCGACTCGCTGTTGGTCTTGAATCTTGATTCTTGCCAGCTGACGAGCTTCCTCCGCCCGCAGGGAGATCAGTTGAGCGTCGTCGTTGCCCTCATCGGTTCGCACGTGAGGCAGCATGGGGTCGAGCATTGTGGTAACCGCCCGGCCGTGTACCAGTTGGAAAGGCGTCACTCCCGTGGTTTCTTGAACCGCTGTGTTGTTCGCAAACGTAACGTACGGCAACACCTCGTCCCACATCTTGTGCTCCACGTCAACGTACATAGAGATCATGTCAGCGATTGTCTTGTTGAGCCGCTCTGTTAGTCCGTTGGTCAGCGGATGATAAGCGGTAGTTCGTCGATGGTTGGTGTGACTAAGCCGAAGAACCTCTTGAGTCAGTTGTGCCATGAAAGATGATCCTCGATCTGCGATCAACACTTCGGGGGCGCCGTGTCGAAGGAGGATAGACTCGACAAAAAACTTGGCGACTTCCAGCGCTGTTCCTGATGGCAGGTCTTTCGTCTCGGCGTATCGTGTAAGATAGTGAGTAGCGACAATAATCCACCGATTTCCTTGCGTCGATGTCAGGAACGGCTTAAGTAAGTCCATTCCGACCTGCTGGAAGGGCGTAGTCGGAGCGGGTATCGGCTGCAGGAGTCCTGCTGGCTTTGTCGGAGGCTTCTTACGTCGTTGGCACTCATGGCACGATCGTGTGTATAGATGGACTGTTTTCGGGGGTCTCGGCCAGTAGTACTTGTCACGAATCCGGGCGAGCGTCCTGCTGTAGCCGAGGTGTGCAGCCGTCGGGTCGTCGTGGCATGCTTGACAGATTTCGTCTCGCAGGCTGGCCGGAACAACCAGCAGCCAGGCAGGGTTGCTCGATCCAAAGTTATTCTTGAAGAGCACGCCTCGCCGCAGAATGAAGCTTGAGAAGTCTCGGGCCAAAACTCGCGGAACTAAACTTCCTTGACCTTCAAGGTGGTCGATCACAGCGCGAAGTTCTGGGTGGTCTCGTTGAGGTGCTCCCATGTCGGTATCCGTAACTGCGCCGAGAAAACGGGTGTCATTGTCGTCGTCAGTGCTTTCGGTAGGAGATTCGACTGGGGCCCTAGGCAAACAGTCGGCGTCGTTGTGCTTGCGGCCAGACTGATGCACAATGGTTACGTCGTATTTTTGCAGTCGAAGGCTCCAGCGAGCGAGGCGTCCTGATGGTTCCTTGTGGTTGGCGAGCCAACAGAGAGCGTGGTGGCCCGTGACAACGCGGAACAGGATCCCGTACAAGTACGGGCGGAACTTGGTTAACGCCCAGATGACAGCGAGACATTCCTTGTCGGTCGTCGAGTAATTTTTCTCTGCCCTGGACAATGCCCGGCTTGCGTAAGCGATCACCCTCTCTGCTCCGTCGTGCCTCTGGACGAGTACCGCGCCGAGTCCGTCGTTGCTGGCGTCCGTCTGAACTTCTGTTTCCGCTGATGTATCGAACTGTCCGAGGATAGCGGGTGACTGGAGTCTTTCCTTCAGTTCGTTAAACGCTTGTTCTTGCCCCTCCCCCCACTGGAAGTTCATGTCGTCCTTCGTCAGATGCATGAACGGTGCAGAAATCTTGGCAAAATCGCGAACGAAACGTCTGTAGTAAGTGCAGAGCCCAAGAAATCTTCTGACGGCTTTCTTGCCTGATGCTTCGGGAATTTAGCAACAGCGGATGTCTTTGCAGGATTAGGGCTTACACCCCATGCACTCACGACATGACTCAGGAATTTGACCTCGCCGTAAGCGAACCGACATTTTGACGGCTTCAGTGTCCGTCCAGCATTCTGGATAGCCTGTAGCACGGCTCGCAAACGTCTCAGGTGCTCGTCGAAGTCGCTTGCGAATACGACGACGTCGTCGAGATAGACGAAGCAGCTTTTCCATTTAACCCCGGATAGAACGGTGTCCATTACGCGCTGCAACCTCGCCGGTGCTGTGCACAGTCCGAACGGCATCACTTTAAATTCGTACAGTCCGTCCGGCGTGACGAAAGCAGTCTTTTCACGATCCCGTTCGTCGACCTCGATCTGCCAATACCCACTCTTCAGGTCCACCGACGAAAAGAATCGGGCGTGGCGCAGCCGGTCTAGAGTGTCGTCGATGCGTGGCAGCGGGTAGACGTCCTTTTTTGTTACGGCGTTTAGTCGACTATAGTTTACGCAGAATCGAAGAGTCCCGTCTTTCTTTTTCACCAGGACTACCGGTGAAGCCCACGGACTCTTTGGGGGCTGGACGATGTCGTCGTTGTGCAATTCTTGGACCAGTTTCTGGATGAGTTCTCTCTCTTTCACAGATACACGGTACGGCGACCGATGAGCAGGAAGTGCGTCGTCATCAGTAATAAATCGATGTTTCGCAACCGTCGTTTGGCGCACCTTTGACGACGTGGAGAAGCACTCACTGAACTCGGCGTGAAGATCACTGAGTTGTCATCGTTGTGGGGTAGGCAGGACTGGATCGATATCAAAATGCGAATGCGGCGTTGTCTCGTGTGGCCCCGAAGAGATGTCTTCTACTATTCCGGCGATTGCGGCTTAGTCCATGAGTTCCTCGGCGTGGCCCACGGCGGTGCCTTTCGTAAGGTCCTGAGCCTCTTGTCGGAAGTTTGTTACGAGTGCAACTGTGTGTCCGTCTTGGAGCTCCGCGATGCCTCTTGCGACGCCGATCCCTCTTTCTAGAAGCAGCTGGACGCTTCCCTCGAGCAGAACGTCGCCGCAGAAAGCCCCGTCGATCCCGATGGGTACGAAAACACTGGACCGCGGCGGTAAGTTCACGTGATTTGCGATGACTCGGACCCGGATGACGTCGCTTTGGGTTCCTCCAGCGCTAGAGTAGTTTTTTGTAGCGTCAGCCGGTTTTCTCCGAGGTCGATGACGGCGCGATACTCGCAAAGAAAGTCCATTCCTAGGATAACGTCTCTCGAGCAGTCTTGCAGAATGACGAACTTGACAGGGCACGTCTCACCGTGCATCTCGACGCGAGCAGTGCAAATCCCGACTGGTGTGATTGGGTGCCCACCGGTAGTCCGTATCTGTGGGCCATCCCACGGCGTCGTCAGTTTCCGAAGACGTTGGGAGAGCCTCCCACTCAGGACGGAGTGGTCTGCTCCGGTGTCGACGAGGGCCGACGCGTCGTGGCCTTCGATAACGACGTGTAGGTTAGTCTTCACCGTTGCAGGCGCGTCGCTTCGGTCTCTGGTAGCGTTTCAGTGGGGGCCCGCCGACGTTCGTGGCGGATCTTGGCGTCGGTAGTCCTCGGTAACTCCACCTCCAGGGGTGTCCGCGCCTAGTTTCCCCGGCGAGGAGCGAGGGGTGACAGGCTTTCACGTCGGGGTCGGTGCATCGGCGAAGCTGGACGTCGTGGCGAAGGTGACCGGATCTCTCGGCGGGACGCACGCTCGGGGGACTGAGGCCGTCGCAGGTACTCGTCGATCTCCCGAGGTCATTCACCATAACGGGGCGCGAGTCGTTCGGGTGGAACCCGCGCTGCCCAAGTCGTCGGTATGGGCATCGGCGGTAGGTGTGGTCTGCTTCCCCGCAGTGGAAACAGTGGGCGTCGGTCGGGCGTTCGCCACACGTCGGTCTTCCGAGGTACGCGGGGCTCCTGGCATCTGTACTGGACCTGGTCGTCATTGCGTCTGTCGTGTAGCGGCGCGGGAGACTGACGTCGGGGCGGCGCGACATAGGTGCGAGGAGGAGGCGGTGGCCGTCGGGCCACTGCGGCGTAAGTCAACGTGGGCTCCTCGGTTGCTGCCACGGCGACGGGAGCCTCTGGTTGGATGGCTCTCTGAACTTCTTCCCGCACAACATCGGCGATGGAGAGCGTCGCTGTTTTGTTTGCAGCTGGTAGCAACCGACGGATTTCCTTCCGGACGACCTCCTGGATGATTTCGCGGATGTCCGTACCAGGAGCGTTTTCGCCGCTAAGCAGAGCGGTTGCAGTGACGCTTGGATGCCGCTGGTAGTGGGAAGCGCGCGCTTGGAGGGCGCGCTCGATGTTTGTTGCCACGGTGACGAAGGTGTCGACGGTTGCCGGCGAGTTGCGGACTAGGCCTCCGAAAATGTCGTCTCTCACCCCGCGCATGAGAATTCGTAGTTTCTTCTCTTCGGTAGCCCGAGGGTCGGCGCGGGCACTCAGGCGCAGAATGTCCTCTACGAAGCCGGTGACGCTCTCGTTAGGGCCCTGTGTTCTGGTTCGCAGTAGGTCCTCGGCTCTCTCTCGGCTGTAGTGGTTGCTGAACGTAGCCTTGAGATCGGTCTTGAAAATGTCCCACGACGTCAAACAGAAATCATGATTCTCGTACCAGTGCTTGGCGGTACCCTCAAGCGAAAAATATACGTTGTGCAGGCGCTGCTCGCCGTCCAGCAATTGTGGCGGGCAACGCGTTCATACTGGTCAATCCAATCTTCGACGTCTTCGTATTGCTCGCCGTGGAATGGAGCAGCCGTCCGCGGTACGACGGGCAGGTAAAAGGCGGCTGGAGCGGCCGGGGTCTCCGACTGGGTGGCCATCGTCGTCCTCCTGGTTTGCCTGGTCCTGGGTGGCAAGGGTCCTAATTCCGGGGGTAGGCCAAGGTTCCGGCAACTTAATCGGATCTCGGTCTTGTCTTAGTTGGGTTCTTGAGGGTTTGTGTTCGGACTTGCACTGCGGGAACTGGGAGGGGAGCGCTGCACGGGCATGCGGTTACCCCGCACCTCCACCAAAATGTCACGGGTGGTGGCCAAAAAAACAATAAATAAACAGGAAGAAATAAACGTTTAATGTGGCGAACTTGTGCCAAAAATAAAATGGTACAAACGATAACAACAGAGCGGCGCAGGCGTCGAAGTCGGCGTAGCAGCAGGTCGAACGGTGGGGCGAAACTGACTGCGGCTCGCCACGCGGAGTCCCTTATGTACAGTCGGGAGCAAAAGTTTGCGGGGCACCGGAGCGCGTGCCGAAATGCATCGCCGCGCGTGCCGAAATGCATCGCCGCGCCGTCCGACGGCGCGCCGCCGCATTAAGAAGACGCGCTTTGCGCATGCGCGTCTTTCGCGCTCGCAATCATGTCTCTTTCGCACGTTTCTTTTCGACGCACTCCTGATAAGAGGAGTCGGCGCCAGGGGCGCGAGTTAGCGCTTCGCTGGTTGTCATGCTGTGCTTCTGCTTCAGCCGCCTCAGCCACCGCGCTTCGTCACGGAGGTCGCGTAGGGGGAAGAGGGAGGTAACCAGGCGCTCCGTCACCCAGCGCGGCTACAGAGGCAGCTGAGGCAGCGAAACGGCAACTTGCGCCCCTGGCGCCGACTCCGGTTATCAGGAGTGAGTCGGACAGAAACGAGCGAAAGAGACATGACTGCCAGCACGAAGGGCGCGCATGCGCCAAGCGTGGCTTTTTAATGCGGCGGAGCGCCGTTGCACGGCGCGGCGATGCATTTCGGCACGCGCTCCCGTGCCCCGCAAACTTTTGCTCCCGACTGTACATGCGTGAGCTTCTGGGATCATCGGCGTAGAATGTTCGACGCGTAGAACCCCCCATTCGAACCTTGAGCAAGCAATACGATTCTCAAATTTACCAGAAAACTAAATTGCAGAGACAAACAAAAGACACGTCGCTCGCAGGAATCGAACCCTGGCCTTTCGTGTGGGAGGCAGGCACGATAACCGTTAGGCCGCACGGGTGCTCCCTACTTGGCCAGCTACGCGCGCGCAATATTTAATCACTCATATTTTGTTATAATTAAAATATATTTCACAGCCCCTATATCTTGCTCAATTCAACATTTCAAAAAAAGAGTGGCATAAATCCTTGACATCAGGTATTTACTGACTGTACATGCCCAGTGCGTTAAAACCCTTTGTATTTATTTGACACCAAGCAAAACTTTAACAAATATGTTCTCTAAACAATACGATTTGAAGCACTTGAGCTAGTTAACATAAAATATTTGAAATAAAACGGAGATGAAAACCGGGAATTTGCATATATTAAATTTGTGTTGTGACATATATCACCATTTATCTATTTTTTTTTCTTTTTTTCATAGAGGTTTTTTACAGGCTGCTGGGCGCAGTTGTTGCCAAAGGTAAGCGACATGTTATCAAACCTCATCCGATAACTTATGCGGTAAATTCGGTCATTCTAGGTAAATATAAGTCACAACGAAATACCACACGTCATGGAGCACTGATTACAGTGAAGCTAAAGGGGTTCTGTAATTGAGAAAAAAAAAACTTTAATCCCCTTTATCTGCCCCCGGTATTAAGAATAACAAACTTATATGTCAGTATGATGCGCCAAGTAGCCACAACAGCGCTTTCAAAATAACGCTGAACCCCCTCTTTCCCTTCGCGTTCGGTGCAAAGAGGGAATCATGAAGTATTATACAGAGATCTCAAATTTCAGTGCTTTCTGCAGGCTTTATCCTAGGGGGAAAAATTGGTGCCGGCGTTACCTCCGAAGTGGCACACACAAGGCGGACGAATCTTCTGAATACGACGTAACACAAAGCTTTTTTTTTCGCGTCTATAGATACGTTTGGGTCACATGCTTGCGATATTCAAAATCACGGATGCAGAATTACGTCAGAATTTATCACTAACTCGTTCTTATTCAAAACCATATTTAACGTCCCTTTAAGACTGCATCCGCTTTATCAGTGTCTCAATTTTAAATTAATAGAATTTTCTATCCTCAGTTAAGTATGAAAAATTAAACCGCATTTGTTTGGATAGTTTAAGGCCCCTAATCTTGTGAACTGTCTACACTTGGGGAAAAATCAGTGCATTCATCGACAGTAATCTGCGATAGATGTTTTACAGCGGAGCTGTTAAAGACCGACCTACGAAATTTCTTTTTCCAACAAGGAGGAGAATCCTTCTCGCCACCCTCCCCATTTCCCCCTCTCCCACTCTGCGATCTCGACGACGGGAGACTCTTTTTGTTGCTGCATCTTGGGGTGGGACAAGCCGGGATAAGCACATTATCCGGGGTTCACAAGGGCAGCGGTGGCGTCGGGTGGAGGGGGTGCACAGGGGGCGGGGGGGGGGGGGGGCTATTTTGTATTTTCGAGGGGTCTTGCTTCCTGCCTCGCGTCGACAGCAGCTTAACGTTCTCCTCCATAGCGTCCAGCCTGTTTGTTTTCTACTGAAGTGGGAGGCTTTCTACGGGGCTTTTGGCTACTCATTTTCACCAAATTCCAACGTGGGAGGAAGCACCGCACGAACGTTGCCCTGTTTATTTGAAACCTAAATAATGTTGCTCTACTGTTGCGCTCCAATCAATTTCATCATCAGTCATTATTTGTTAGGCCTGGGCGTCGATTAAAAATGTTAACCCGATTAATCGCCACCGCTTAAATCATTAATTCATTGATTATAGGTCGCGCTGATTTTCAGGTATGATATACCTGAAAAAGCGAATAATGCCCGCGTCCAGTATACCTTCATATCAAATTGTTAGACAGAATTGTAGAGAAGATTGTGTGTTCCTTGAAAAAACAAACAATTTGGCCCCCTCCTATCCGGTCCGCTTTTCTATAGGCCTCAAATAGCGCGAGCGAATCTTTCCTTGTGTCGCATTTCAATTTCTCCGCTTCCGCAAGTTATGAATGTGGTAGGTTGGTCCAGTGGCTTAGAGCTCACTCTTTGAAAGGAACTGAAAATAAAAACGGACCAGTACAACCTGAACTATCCAAGACGCTTGAAGAGAGCCTGTCGTAATGAAAATGAACCGCTCTAATGTGGTAATTCGGGTCATTCAGGTCATAATTTTTCATCCCCTTTTGAAAGGCTCCAGAAAAACAAGAAACCACGACAAGCTGAGAGATGCAAGGCGTCTCGTATTGTTCAGGTTGTCCCGGTTTTTTATGTCCTTTCAGGGCTCCCCGAAACGCTCAGTGTTCAGTTTCTGAACGCCGTTTTTGTTTTCGCACAGAAATGAGACGAAAATACGTAATAATTCTTCACACCAGCGCAATGTAATAAGAGACTTCTATTTCCAGCAAGCTGCTTTCCGCCATGTTTCCATGTCATCCTCCAGGCCGCGGATGTTTGTGCAGAGTGATTAAACTATTTACCTATTACAAAACAGCGCACAAAAGACGGGACACAAAGTAGAAAGAGGACACAGGACATACGCTGACTAACAACCAAAGGTTTACTAGAACTTCCAAGCGCACAGTGGCACGCGGAAGCACTTGCTCTTCTTTCTCTTTCTACGGAGATAAATACCAGTAAAAGAAAACCTCGAAAAAAAAAGTGAGAAGAAAAAGAAACATCTACCGCAGCACTAGAAGAACGTTGCAAAACGCGTGACCGAAATAAATGTTAAAAATTAATTTTGATAACAGCACGAGAAAACACTAAGATTATGGGCTGTGTTCACCTCACGTTTGCAACACGTGCACACCACGTTCAGGACACAAATTAGACCTTTACGGATCTCATGTGACAGTCTACTAAGGAGGGTCGAAATTGAGAAATTGCGATTCCCTTTTGGTCATTCAACCAACCAGCCCACCAATCTATCCTGTTAAACTATTTACATCTAAATTGACATGCACTATTAATCTGGCACCATTCCTTAGAAGCAGCATGCTAGTGCACATAAATTCCCCCAGCGGCTTGCCTTCTAATCGGGTGTAAGGATAAGGGAAATTTCCCGGGCATGATTTGTGCAGAAGGCTAAATTCAATGGTCGCCTATTATATCTACTAACTCCCTGACACTTTCTCCAAAAAGCGAGGTTTTGGTGGAAATTCATTGCCCGGGCTCTATTTTTTGTAATGGCGCGGAAAAAAAAAAAGAGAGAGTGAGAGAGAGTTAAAGCAACGGTTTTCGCAGGTTGATATTTTTTTTTTCATTGCGAATGCGACAGTTTATTTTGTTTAAGTATGCTTTTGTTTAGGGTGCTACAATATGGTGTAAACATTTTTACGCACTTCCCACAAATATTTCATCGTCAAAGATAGTTGTAAAGTGTTACGCACTGCCTCGGGTGCTTGGAGCTTATGCACTAGAACGTCACAAACTCCTGTATTTGTGTTTGAATCGATCACTTCTTTTGCATTACGACGAACACACTTTAACCATAAAATCATAACAAATAATTATTGATGATGAAATTTACTGGGTCCCAACAGTAGAGCCATATTATTTAGGTTGCAAATAAACTGGGCGTCGTTCATGCAATCTGTTTACTTCCACGTTCAAATGTGTTGGCAATGAGTAGCCAAAAAGCGCAGTCTGCAGGCCGAAAGGGGCAAGGGGGGGGGGGGGTAGAGAAAGGGGTGGTTGTTCTTCGTCCTCGTCTGTTTTGCGCGCTGTTTCACACTCTTATCAGTTTCGGTTTGAACTCAGGATGGATCGGCCGCGTGCCCTTTCGGCGAAAGAAGACTGGGCGCGGAAGGAGCGGCGACGTACGCAGCAGCGCGAATGGGTCCGCAAACGACGCGAAGCCGCTCTCACCTCGACTTCCACTGCGTCCATCGCTTCATACTCCCTTGCGAAAGAAGAGCACATCGCTTGGCTGAAAAGCCGCCGCCGACAACAGAACCACGGATGTAAACGACGCCGGCGAGTCAGCGCTACGGACGATGATCGTGCCACGGAAGTCTAGCGCAAGCGCGAGGCCCGGCGACGATACCACTCCACGCCGGCTGAACAGTTAACGGGTGCGACGCCGAGGTTCCGAAGGGAGCCGTGGAGAACCATTTGGAGTCGCGTGCGCCCTCTGTGACCGACTCCGTTGGAGACGTATCCATGATCGGCGGCGTGTCCGACGATATGAAACGGGAAACGGACGCGTGCGCGTTGCGGCAGTGTATCGAGTCGGCAGACGTCTACAAAGAAACGGCGTGCAGAACGCGCCGAGATTCCCTGTTCAAAAGCGCGGTGCCCCGGTTCGCGACTGTGAACGGCTACAAGTACCCACCTGTACAGGAGCACGTATACCGAGGTTGAATGGGGTGGAGGAACGACTAGTGGCGCCTCGACTCCCGTTCATGAGCCTTCGGCGGTTCACGTGGTGTAACAAAGACAACCGGGGACAATACGGATGTCACATAACCAATTACCCAATCACACCTTAATCCTTACATTAATATATACTTTATTTCCACCATAGTACAGCTTCGCTGGTTTTCCTTCTCACGAGAGTGGGAAGGCTGAAAGATTTTTTTTTAGCTTTACTTTGTCATTTTGACATTGGCCAAGGGAGAGTTAGTTTTTTTTAAATATATTTTCGGCAATCTTTGAAGTCTCGAAAGCAGAGAAATGGCCATTGTGCTCAACTGAAATGTACTTCTTCACGCTGTTGTTTCGCATCGCAGGTTCAGCTTGCGGAGGATGTGAAGGGAACTCTTCCGGCGATCTCGAAAACCCCAGGCCATAAATGGGACCGAAAAGGCCGCTCCCCAAGGTCGCTGTAAGACCTTTCAAAGAAGCAGCGGTCCGTTACAGCACAACGTGTTCACGTCACAGGGTGCTCTAATACCAACTAAACTTTGAAATAAAACGTATTAAAAGTCACTTTTCTTGCACAACTTTATTTGTAACACTTAATATAATACAAATATTGTTGGTTTGTAAAAAAGTCCAGCGCCATTCCAAACATTTTAAAGATTGAGACTAAGGCCCTAGAAGGGACTTTTTGTGCACATTATTAAGCTCAACGATGGTCGTCCTAGTCTTTCTATTATAAATGACGGTACATGGAAGACACTGAAATAAGACTACACGAATGACAAGAAGAAGTATCTAAACTTTTGTTGTTTCTTATATCGATTAAAAAATGTACACTACGACATCATCTCCATCTCTCAGGAAGTGGCTGATCATGTGACCAAAGTTATGATCAATGTATCTAGAGTGGCGCACGTGGCCGTTTGAAAATTTTCCAATGGGAGTTATTTTGTCAGCTGCTGTAAACTAGCCAGAAATACAAAATAAAAACCTTCAAGTGATCGTCGTCTTCGTCTGCGCCTACTTATCACATATCCCTTGCAAACACCCCAAATTTGTTCGAAAAATGTTATCTCCGTACTTATATTGCCGCTTCCGTAAATGAGTTGGAAATGCGCGCGCCTGCCACGCGGCGGAACAGGGTTGGAACAACGCTCGGCCTGAATTTTTTTTTTTTTTATAAATACATTTTTTTTTTGTTTTTTAAGTTCCAAACCATTATTTTATTGTTTGTTCTGGTTCAGAACATTCCTGAATGTACGGCGTGTGTAAGAGCAGCGGCAACCCACTGCTTCGGTCAGTAAACCTTTCGATTCCGACACAAGGTGTTGGTATTTTTCCCTTCAGTATATGTAGGCACAAGCTTGCCTCAATAAATGTATTTTCAGTTTTACATTTTTCGAATGTTTTCAATCCGTTACAATATCTTTCTTGTGCAAAGTACTGCCTTTGGAGTATTTTCGAGTAGGCGAAAAGCACCTAAAATGACAAAAACAAGCAAGATAATTAACTGAGGCGCTCTAACAAATGTAGCATACCTAGAAAAACTGTATAAGAAATGTCGTCTGGATGTGGCTTCTTAATATATATTGCAACGGGCGAAAGTAAAGAAGACAAACGGGGACATTAGGAGAAAGAGGACGAAGTACGGACAGTAGGAAAAGGACAACGGCTGGAACGCTCGTAACATCTTGGTGGCTGCGGTGGGATGTTCAGCATGAACGCCCGCTCCCAGCCTGCAAATCCGGAACCCAATTGGGAGCAACTCACCGAACAGCTTTACAATCAGTTGGTGGAGAAGAGCTCGACTGACGCTGCAAATATACTTGCACAGTTCGACGATCGCCTCGCCTCTCGCATTGCAAACGTGGAGCAGACTTTACATCAACAAGTCACCGACGTACATTTACACCTCTCATCTGTACAAACTCGACTGGAACACCTGGAACAGGCCCTACAAGCTGGTACGCGACCAGAAGTTTCGGGTGACCCTTTTCCCAGCCAGGAAGCAGCTGCGGTCCGCCATTGCAGAAACGATGAGCCCGAGAGACAGGCAGAGATAGCTCCATCGGATTCCTGCGCTAGGCGGCTCAAACCCCCGACGTTCGATGGTCTTGGCTCCTGGAGGGCGTTCATCGCGCAATTCGAAACGGTGGCTGTACACAATGGCTGGGACTCCCATGGCAAGGCTGCTGCCTTAGTCGCCCAGTTACGTGGAAACGCAGCAGAGTACCTCGAGTGTATTCCGGATTCAAGTCGAACTACATATGAACATCTGTTACAAGCTCTGGACTCTCGATTTAATTATGTGCATCTACAGCAGTTACACCTAACGGCGCTCAAAATTTATCGCCAAGGCACAAAGTCGCTACAAGAGCTAGCCGACGCCGTCGAGAGATTGGCGACGAAGGCTTTGATAAGGTGCTCTGAAGACACACTCCACCTGATGAGCACTTTTGCTTTCATCGATGCCATCAAGGATCCCGAAGTTCACCGATATGTGTGGCTCGCGCGATCCTCCACGCTCCGCTCTGCCCTGGGTCACGCGTTGCAAATGCACGCGGTGATATAAGCACCAGCGTCCACGGTGAGCCCAGCAAACCATATTGCTAATACTGGTGCCACGCAAGACAGCCCCCGCAGGCTTGACTGGCGTCAATGCTTTAGCTGTGTACGGCGAGGCCACCTTACTCGATCTTGCCGGAAACCGTGCCCTCCAAGTCAGGAACACCCTCCGCGCGTGCCCGACAGGGCGGGGTCCCGTGTGGTCCACGACGTTCCCTTGGCTACAACTTTGATGTGCCCATCGCTGACCCCACACGTCACTGTCTACCTGCCTGAAATCGGACTATGTACCGATGCTATTATAGACACTGAAGCTGGGGTGTCTGTCATCGATGCTAAGTTGCTACGATCGGCCGACCGTATCGCATCAACAACAGACTGTAAAGAACTACGACTTCTCTCGCCAAACGGAAGCCACATTCCTCACATCGGACGCATCGAACTGACCGTGGAAACAGTTGGGGAGAGTGTGACACTTTCATTCTTCGTTGTGCAGAATATAAACCCTCCAGTTATTCTCGGATGTGACTGGTGTGCGGCAGTCAATCTGCTCGTCTCCTTTGAACGCGGTCATGCACAGTTATCAACACAACGAGAATGCAAGTCCCGTTGTACGGCTGCCGACGCATTAACGTTGGGACTTCGTGAAGAACTGAGGCCGAACATTAAGGAAACATCTGTGTACAAAGGTTTTTTCTGCTGCGCACTGTTTTTCTTGATCAGCTTCGTACACACAAGTTAGAACACCATGCGCCTACTTGCATGAAGGTTCAAGATTGTTTTACGCTATTGCTACCCCTCAAGTTCGTTTGCGAACCTTTTATGGGCTCAGTTGTTGCCACGAAAGACATTATGGTTCCAAAGTCTTCGGCGGTCTGGGCCGCTGAAACACTTCAAGGAGATAAGCGATCGGGAGACTTTATAATCGAAAATGTCCTGCACTCGCGCCCTGGGGCGGAATTCGTCACGCCCCGCTGTCTCACCTCCTCTCGCCAAGGCGTCTTGGACATTCTTGTTGCTAACCTGGCCAGCGACTATCTTCACCTAAAGCGAGGCGACAGCTTAGGAGTTGCTTTTGAGGTTTAGTCACAAACGGTGGTTGTCACTCTTGTAAGTTCGCCTTCGTTTCCCGCTTCAGAAGAACAGTTGAGCAGAACCGGACCCCTAGCGTGTTCTGAGTTTAACTTTGGACCCAATCTAACCGCGGCAGAGAAAGAATCTATTCAGTTCCTACTCATGAATTTTCGGAGCTGCATCGCCGTTACAAAAGAAGAGCTGAGTTATACGCTCCTCGTGCGGCCATGCCATCAACACCGGTGACCACGCGCCAGTACATCAACACCCACGACGAGTCTCTATGCCCGAGAGACGAGAAATCAAAGCTCAAGTTGACGATATGCTCCGAAGGGACATAGTAACACCTTCTAGCAGCCCGTGGTCGTCGCCTGTGGTGCTCGTCAAGAGAAAAGATGGCTCGACAAGGTTCTGCGTCGACTATAGAAGGCTGAACAGCATCACTAAGCCCGATGTGTACCCCCTACCTCGACTTGATGACGCCCTGGACCGCCTCCATGGTTCCCACTATTTCTCGACCTTGGACCTCATCTCGGGATACTGGCAAGCTGAACTGGATTCAGATGACGCTGAAAATTCAGCCTTCGTAACGCCTGACGGCCTGTTTCAGTTCAGACGTTTGCCGTTTGGATTGTGCGATGCACCGGCGACCTTCCAGCGTCTTATGGATAAAGTCCTCGGCCACTTGAAATGGACCATGGCCTTGGTCTACCTCGATGACGTAATCGTGTATGCCGAGAGCTTTGACGACCCTTTTGGAAAATCTCGATGATGGAAAGATGTTGGAAAAGGTTCATACAGGCGTAACCGTAATATTGGACATGCTATACAAGCGAAAAGGCCGCTCCAGTATAGTGGATTAAGGCGGAACGGTACAGGTGGCCGGAACCACGCAAGCGTGTCGTATTATGGGACATCCTATACCAGCGTAGTGGATTATGGCGGAACCATGTAGGCGGGCGGAACCATACATGCATAACCTAATATGCGACATCCTATACCAGCGAAAAGGCGATACCAACGTGGTGGAGCCATATGGCTCCTGCATGCTGGTATCGCCTTTTTATCTGTGTACAGGGCGATTTAGTTTTAAGCTTACATATATGTTTAGAAAGGTCGTGAAAGCTAAATTAATGCGGTGTGTGCAGGCGAGTTTTACGGCCAGGCATACGTAGTATAGCGACCTAATCGTAACGATCAGTCGGATAATTAAATACAATTTGTTAATCAACTTTTTAATTGGTGAAAATGAACATATGGTTTCAATTAGCAACTTGCTGAGTCATTGAAAACCACAAAATCAACTATTTTTAGAAGGATGTAATGCAGGGGCAGCATTTACGCGTTCTGTAAAAACGCTTGATTTGGTCGAGTTTCTAGGTTTCAGTTTCTTATCGGAGCGCATATCTGTGCCCACGGTCCTGTTCCCCGGGGGCTTAGACGCGCAACACACGTGCACCTTGCTTCCCCTCCATCCTACGAGGGAGGCGAGGGGGTGGCTTTGCACTGCGGCCACCGGGCAGCAGGATCGCAGGCGCAAAGATGAGCTCCGCGTAAGAAACCGAAGTCTGGAAACGCGTCCAAATCGACTATTTTTTTTAGAACGCCGTAAAATCCTGCTTTTGTCTTATATCTTCACGAATAAGGTTGATTTTGGTGTTTTGATAATACTTAGCAAGTTTCTAATTGAAACCATGGATCTATTTTCACAAATTAAAATTTTAAGAAACATATACTTAAAGGGAAGCTGAAGCGGTTTTTCAATTGAGGAAACACATTAAAACATTCCTTTTGACCTCCAGGATATCAAATATCAAAATTATATCTAAATTTGGTTAATCCAGGCTGTATAGAATCATTTTTAAAGTACTGCAGGAGGCACTTCCCTGGAGAGCGGCGTCACAAAAGCAGCTTTCGAAATCTTTGCTCACGCATCTTCAGCGCCTATCAAAGCTATGCACGCACATGCTATTTTTTAAAAGGGCAGAAAGATATGTCACGACTGGTTCCAGTGCGGGAGAATATACTTAGAAAACTTGCGATTGGACGCGCGGCCCTTAAGCGACACACGCTTTGCGGCCGAAAGGTCTTCTTACGATGTTACTATTGGTAGGATGTTTTTTTTTGTGTGTTTTCTATCGTTTAGTTATATCTTTCTGGAAAACGAACGGGATATTCAGATTCGTGGAATAAAACTATGCTAGAATGAACCTCCATCTAGTTTTCTGAGAGAAGTCTGGCACTTCTCTGTAATAAGCCGACTGTTCATTAAGAATTAGCCTTTAATACTATGCCACCCTGGCCATATAACTCACGTCCACAGAC